GACATTGAAAGAAGCTTTTCATCTATTGATTCATCTACTCAACAGCACTGAATCCTCTCAGATAAGTGCTGCAATGCCCATTTTCTGATGAGGAAAATGAGGCACAGGAAAAATGTTACAAACCCAAAATTACCCAACATGAATGGCAGAGCTGGGGCTTCAGTGTGGATAACATAGCTATAGATAGGAAATGAGCCCAGTGTATCCCACATAGTAGTGAAAAACCTGTGTAGCTGATCGAAGTCAGACTTGGTCCAGCACATGTTAACCTGGCACTTGTATGGTAGAGGCTGGAGGATCAGGAATTGAAGCTCATCTTTGCTCTACTACCTAGTGTTTTGGGGGCCACCTTAGGCTACAAGAGACCTTGCCTCCAAAAAAAGGTTGTACTGCTTGTAAAAATGATACATACTGTGAAAAATGCATGTAATTGATTTCAATAGATAGATAATTACTCAAGTACTGTGAATGTTCCCTCCCAAATGTTTATTTTACATGTCAGTAGCTTAACTTCCCTGTAGACCATCACAAATACATAGACCAGCAGTATAGTGTGTGGGTCATACTTGTTACGGATTCAAATTTGTGTTAGTATCAGGAGAGCCATGTCCTAATCTGAGGGATTTTATACATTTCAAATGAAGATGAGGAGTTTGGTGATCTTTCCTAAAATGAAAGAGAAAGGACCAGTTATTTGTGGTGTGAAGATAGTAGACACAAAGAAGTGGCTTTGAGGGCTAATATTCATTTCCAGAAGAGATTATTTAAATGGATTTTTGCATTGCACTTTGATGACAGATTTGAATATTTAAAACCTTACGTACCAGGTTTTAAGCATACCAGGATTTGGGGTACTGACATAAAATTGATGTGATCAAAGTCAGAAGAATTTAAAATTGCATCGCATGTTTTAGAGAAAACAGCACAAACATGGGGTAGACTCAGGAAACACTTAGACATATAATATTAGGACTGTGACACATTGGTCATATTAGCTTGTTGATGTGCTAGTTTTTACAGAATATTGAAAGGCTTAGTTTCTCACATTTGTCTTTCTCTTGCTTGGCTCTTTCCTTCCTTTTCAACTTTCCATTGTTGCTACTGCAGCTTACTAAGCCTGAGATCCCTAAAACACAATACTGAACCTTTTATTTGACCCATAAAAACTCAGCTGATCTAAAACTAAGTTTACTCTTTTGCACTTTAATTGACTTGTATTTTTCTCTTCCCTTACTTGCCGTGAGTATTTAATCTCTTTGACCTGGTAGTTAGTGGCATCCACTGCTACACAATGAGGTGTACTTTTACATCTGAGGCCTTTGTAGTCTCTGCAGCACATGGTCCAAACTCTTCAGTTTCATAAGCCACCCCCACTTTCAGGTACTTTGGTTATGGTCTTCTGGATAAACACAGCACCATCCTATGGTTTTACTCTTTGTTAAAGTCTGCCCTTGGTGAAATGAACTTGTATAAATACACTGTGGCCTTTCAAGGACTGGCTGTCTGTTAGGTTAAAAATGTGTTAGATTATTTTGAGAGAAGCCCTCTATTAAGTTCGCTTTCATTTTTTTTTTTTTTTAATTTTATGTGCATTGGGTGTTTTACCTGCATGTGTCTGGGTGAGGATGTTGCGTCCCCTAGAACTGGAGGTACAGACAGTTGTGAGTCATATGGGTGCTAGGAATTGAGCCCAGGTCTTTGGGAAGAGCAGCCAATGCTGTTAACCACGGAGCCATCTCTTCAGCCCTGTAACATATACTCCACTTAAAAAAAAAACAAAAAAAAACTTTTTTTATGATTAACTTTTTAAATTTTGTGTGCATTGTTGTTTTGCCTGTATGTGTTTCTTTGTGAGGGTGTTGGATCCCCTGGAACTGGAGTTACAGATGGTTGTGAGCTGCCAAGGAGGTGCTGGGATTGAATCCGGGCCCTCTAGAAGAACAGCCAGAGCAGTGCTCTTTACTACTGAGCCATCTCTGCAGCCTTGGCTACATTTGTATTTGAGGCAGGGTTTCACAGAATTGCACAGACTGATCTCAGAATGGCTAGGCAGTTTAGGCCAGCTTGAAACATTGAGTCTTGCTTTAGCCTCCCACATCTTTCAATTACAGCTGTGAGCCACCATACCCATTTTAAGAAGTTTGTTTTTAAACATTATAAATGTAATGTAGTTCTACCATCTGCTGTGTGTAGGAAGCAACCTTAAAAATAAGTTTGTATTTAGCTGCATGTTGTGGTATATGATTTTAAACCCAACACTCAGGGTGCAGAAGTAGGCAGATCTCCTGCCATCCCAGCCTGGGCTGCATAGTAAGACCCTGTCTCAAAAAAATAAAATTAAGGGCTGGAAAGATGGTTCTGTCATGAGCATTGGCTGCTCTTCTGGAATACCTTGCTTTGGTTTAGAGCACCCACACTACCACCTGTAATTCTAGTTCTAGGGGATCTGATACCTTCTAGCTTCTGTTGCTGTTGCACACATAGACTGCACATACATACGTGTAGGTAAAACACTCATACATATAAAATAAGTCTAAAAACTTTAAATTAGATAACTTTATCTCAGTGCTAATTGTAGTTAAGTCTTTGCTGTTATCTGAATTTTCTTTAGACTTACAATCTCTTGACTGTTAGTCACTTAAAATTTTTTTACCATGTAATATTTAATTGATCAGTTGATAGTTGAGCTTAACACAGAGGCTCAAGATTGTTATCCTGTCTGAAGAGCACAGTTTTATTTTTGGAGGCAGTTAGTCTATAGATAAATGTCTTTACACCAACATTCGTTTTTAGTATTTCTTAACACTAAAACCTTGTTCATAATGCCATGATTTTTATACATAGGATACACGTTTCCTCTGGTTTTATCTGAAAGCTGAAAGACCTTCTGGTTGTATGGATTCAATTTCCCTAACACTGAGTCTCTGATGCTTTGACCGTTCTCTGGTAGCCTGCCCAGAGTCACGCTATGAACATGCCACTCTTAAGAGTCACTGTAGAACCAAGGATCTGGACATAGCTTTTTGTGGGTCACTTTTCTGCCACTCGTTTTGTTGTGTACACTGTTATACAAGGTCCACAGGCCACTATTCCCCTTTTCGTAATCCAGTGAAATTCCCACTGTTTGTCTGAACAGCCTTGTTTATTTACGCTAGTCTGGGAGGAAATGGTGTTCAGTAATTATGGTCTGTTTGAAGACTTCAGTTGGCTAATGAAAAACTGATAAGAATGATTGGTTTTGTTTGTTAAGGAGTTGAATACATGTAAATTTTAGAGCCTTCATTATTCTACATAAATACTTAAATTTACTCCGTTACTAAATTCATAATTTGTGGTTAAGTACCATGGCCACTGGTAGTTCAGTTGTAAGCAAAATTATACATAGTTGATGCTGAGTGATTTCTCTATGTATTTTTTTTGTTTATTTCTTTGTATGTGTGTGTGTGAAATGTGGATGTCAAGAAAGCTTGCAGGAGCCAGTTGTGGGTTCTACCATGTAGATACTCGGGTTGACAGACTTGGTAGCAAACACCTTTACCTGCCAAGCTATCTGACTGGCCTTTTTTTACCTATTTTTAAAATGGTGTTTATTTTTTTATTTTGTGTGTGCCCACCCCTGTCTATCTCATACGCAAAGCTAGCTGGCCTCACAAGCTTTTGGGTGGTCCTTCTGTGTCTGTCTCTTGTTTCTCATCTCATAGAAATACTAGACTCAAAAGATGCTTGCCACCATATCTGGCTTTTTGTGTGGATTCCAATGATAGAACTCAGGGCATCAGGTTTGGGTTAGTAGTATCTGGCCCGGAATAATTTTTATGAACTCAGAGAATAAAGTCTCTGTACATGTTGAAGGCTGATTAAAAAAAAAAAAAGGTATTCTTTAAATTTAGTGTTGTTTCTAGTTTGAGGTCTTTTAGAGCATACATGTCTTTTCATAAAGCAGTTAGTTGGTTTGAGAGTATAATGCAAGTGTTTTACACACACAAGGTCTTGGGTTTGATGACTGGCGCTGAAGATATTTAAATTAAATAAAAATATTAGAAATGGAAGCTGAGAGATAGCTGAACAGTTAAAAGCACTGGCTGCTGCTCTTGCAGAGAACCCTGGTTCAGTTCCCAGCACTCACTTGGCTGACAGTAACAGCCTGTTCTTGTCCTCTGGTAAGCATTGCATTCATACGTGAAACAATAAATCTTTTTAAAGGTTTTTTTTAAATCTGTTAACCAAATATTACTTACACAATATGCATATGTGTTCTAACATTTGTCTTAGCTTCTAATGCCTTTCTTTGGCTGTTTGTTAAGATCAGTTTATAGCAGGCTGAGGAAACAGCAAGGGGCAAAGTGCTAAATACTCTAAAGGATTCCCAGGCTCCTTTTTCGTAGTGTAGGTGACAGTGTTAATTATGCCTTGCCTAAAAGAAGAACAAAATCCAAGTCATTGTCCACCTTCTTTCATTATTGACTGTTGACTGTTCCAAAGAGCTGTTCTTTCAGGTAATGATGCTGACATGAAGTTATTAAGGACCTCTGTATTGATGGTTTGATCACTTTGAAAACTGCTTTTTTATTGATTTTCATCATTTCCATGTAGTTGTTATGCTTGCCAAGATAGAGCTTTAAGCCTCTCTCCCTCTCCCTCAGTAACAGAGTGCTTTATTTTTCTGTGGACCTGGGACTTGAAAACACAGCTCCATGCGTGCTATACATATGTTGTACCGTTGATCTATGTCTTCAACCCTTTTAACATAAGTTAAGAAAGTTGATCATTAAATTTTATGCATAATCTTTGATGATATAAAAATGTGTAGGTGATGTACATTTTATAAAAGTCACTTTTAAATTTGAGAAACTCTTGCAGTGAGGAAATGGTTCTCCTAGAGGTTGCTGTAGTCTATCTTACTACATCAACTACTTTCATTTGATCAGATTTGTTTGTGGTATTTCCATCATGGTTATATTAAAAAACTTAAAATCCTACTTTATATTATTTTCCACTAGGAAACCACCCCTACCACTAATCCCCCACCTGCCGAAGAGGAGAAAACAGAATCTAATCAGGAGGTTGCTAACCCAGAGCACTATATTAAACACCCTCTACAGAACAGGTAAAGCTGTCTGAATCAAGTTTTTTCTGACTTAGATAATAAGGATGTGGTGAACAAGATAGGTTTAAAGAGAAAAGTTAGGCATGACTGGTTTTAGGTATGCCCAGATATCAGCCCACAGAGGACATTTGTTAAGGAGTGCCTCTGAAGGATATAGTTATAAACACAGGACAGAGTGGGGCTGTGGGAACCAGGAACATGGCTTACTCAAGTTTCACATTCTCCATTGGGTTGGACAATTAAAATAACTGTTGACTTCAGCGAAGGTTTTAGTATAGTGTAGGTGAAGGAATGAGAGGTTGGAGCATTTGAAAAGAGTAGAGGACATATAGAAAGCAAGAATGAGCTGGGCAATGAAGTCAGACTGAGATAGTAGAGAAAGGGGTATTTGAAGGCCAGAAGAGGTTGGTTGCATTGAGGCAGATTAGGAGAAGAGAGGAGCTGAGAAGTTAAGTTTTCATATTCAAAAGTGTAACAGGTAGTTCATTATAAGGTTTTCTCTAGCTTCACCCTTATGTCCCAGTCTAGTCTGTTTCTGGCTTTACTATTTTTTCAGAATATGTAATGAAAATTACTTTTACTTCATTGAAAACTGATTGTGGAAAGAAAATGGAAGCTGGAAATATATGTGAACCTGGAGAAAAGTAAACCGGAACTGACTTCTGAGGGTCTAGTTTCTTTTTGGTTTTTATATATATATATATATATATATTCCTGAGTTTTCTTGAAAGCCTGCAGGCCTATTTATAATGTATTGTCATATTTTTGTCCTTCGTTATATTGTAGACACACTAAAATGTTAATAAAAATGTAGCTGATACAGTTGTTTCATAGGAAAGACTGGTTCATTGTTTCCCTGAGGAACATAATTAAATTCATATGATAGTGAAGATTGTCATACTGTCCCTGAGTGATCTTTCCTTAATAAAGAGTCTTACAAGTAAAATGGAGGGCGGGGTCCTGGAGAGATGGCTCAGTGGTTAAGAACATTGGCTGTTCTTTCAGAGGACTCGATTTCAATTCCCAACACCTACATGGCAGCCTAAAACTGTCTGTAACTCTGGTTTCAGGGGCTATGACACTCTCACATGGACATACATCCAGGCAAAACACCAATACAAGGCCTTCCCAGTCTATAAAGCAAGTCCCAGGCCAGGGAGGGCTACGCTGTTGCATGGGACTCATGAGACTCAAAATCATATTTTACAAAACCCAGGCCATATAGCTAGGCATCCCACCTTCTATTTCCTGCCTCAGACATAGGCCATCAGATTTATTATTGACAGATAAAGTTTCCATACAGACAACAAGATATTGTCTCAACACTACATAATGAGAAGCTGTTCCAAAAAAAAAAAAAAAAACATATAAACAAATAATTAATATAAAAAAAAAAGAACTGAGTAAAATAGTTGAGAACTGGGTGTGTGGCTCAACAGTGGAGCTTTTGCCTCAAGTGCAAGTCCCTGGGGTCGGCCCTCATTTTTATAAAAACAGACCAATAAATAAAAGGGTTCAACATAAGTTTCATATAATTCAAAGTGACAGCATAGCCCCAGAATCCTTAAGTTTGTTTTTGCCCTTTCATGGTATTTCATGAATCCTGATTCTGCGGGTTGGAGCTCAGTGTTTACAAGCACTGGCTGTTGTTGCAGAATACCTGGGTTTGCTCCACAGCACCCACATGGTGGCTCACAAACTGCTAGTAACTTTGGTTTCAAGGGATCCAATCCCACCTTCTAGCCTTCATGGTCTAACTCTAACTTTTAGTTGTTTGAACACAATTATTAGTTTTACTGTCATTATAGAGGGAAGTAATCCAGCACACTTTTATTACTCAAAAGAAATGTGAGATTATGGGAAAGTATGAACTCAGTCCTCATGAGATCTCTTAAGAGATTTCAATTTCTCCATAAATTCTAATCTTTTTATAAAGTGTACCCCATTTGGGAAAATACTATAGTAAGTACTATAGTACTTTATAGTTGAGTTTTGGTACTTGAATCATTATTGATCTACCCCTAACAATTACAAGATCTATTGGGGACAGTGTATAAGTCGACATGTTTTGCTTTCTCAAGGACTGTTTTGCCTTGTCTCCCCTTGGTTAAAGTTGATGTGTATTGTCCCAGAGCTTTTGTCTGCCCATGTGCACATAAATTATTGCTGGCCAGATAATACCAGTCTGAATTGAAAAATAGATTTTCTTCCTAAGTATGCATTTCTTTTAAGTTGAAAAACATTTTCATATTCTTTTGATCACTGGCGCTTTTTTTCTGAGGACAGTCCATTTTGTGTTTTACCTCTATCTTTTTCTTTGGGGATTCAAGTTGACATCCAGCCATTTGGATACTAGTGATGTTACATCAGTAAATGAAGTTCCATTTTACATTTATCAGGCTCTCTGGAATTATATAGGATTGGATTTGAAAGGATTGTAATATTTATGTAGGCAAATATCACTTTCCCCATGGCTTCTGGATTTCCTGTGAATCTTAGAACAACTTTACCGTGTGGTAATTTTTTAAAATAAAATCTTGTAATGATTATATCATTCTGTTTTAATAATTTCTCAAATGTTTGATCTGTGACCCCTTTTTACTTTATGTATACAGTGTGTTGCTGCCAGGTGTACCATGAGCATGGTGGCCATAAGGTTTAAAACCCTTGGAATTGGAGTTAAACACACTGGTGGGCACTGCCACATGTGTGCTGGGCCCCAACTGTAGTTCTTCCTCTGCAGGGGCTGTTAACTCTGAGCTGTCTAGATCTCCAGCCCCTCCTCTTAAATTCTTTGTTTTTGTTGTTTTCTTGAGACAGGGTTTTTCTGTGTAGCCCTAGATGTCCTGGAACTCACTTTGTAGATCAGGCTGGCCTCCAATTCACAGAGAAACACCTGCCTCTGCCTTCCAAGTGCTGGGGTCAAAGGTATGTGCCACCCAGGTTTCTTAAAACTCCTAAAATAGTACTAAGGATTTATGTGTTGCTTAACTATATTCATATAGTCATGCCAAAACACAGCATTAGAATCCATTGGCCTTTCTTACACTTGGAACAGGCCTTTTACTTGTATGTGGTTCTTGTAGTATGATTTATTGGTTGCTTTGAGAGTATCCAGATAATTATGCAGATCTTAGAAATGTTGACAGATTTCATTTAGAGCATCAAAAATAACATCTCTGAAATAATGTTTTGTGCAGGTTGTCAGGTTTACTGCAACAATTGCAAGCTTTCTATAATTATAGTTTTTATCCTGAATACTTAAAATTTTAAGTAATAGGCTTCCCCCTTCCCCAAAATTTATGTAGTTTATCAGTTTTTCAAGTGAAACTGGAAAAATGGCTCATTTATATCACCATTTCAAATAGTTATCTAAGCTCTGTATTTTGTGAAACAGGGGACATGTTTCATATGTAGAAAAAGTAAAGGACACATAAACAGGAATCTAGTGAGAAAGATGCTTATACTGTAGCCCAACATGACTTGGCACTCAGTAGCTTAGCCCAGGCTTCCCTTTCTCCCGCAGCCCAGAGTTTTGGAATCTCAGGTTTGAGCCACCACATCACAGCTGAGATTATAGTTTTGTAGAACTACTACTTCACACAGTATAAACAACGCTCTGAGTGGTTGTATCATACAGGGAAGAATCCTGCTCAGAACAGGTGCAAGTGCTTCCCCAAAATATTTTCTGAGGTTGTAAAACTTGAGGATGCAAAACCTAAGGACACCAAGAGCTGACTATTGCATTTCAGTCGGAAACTATAGTATATAAAAGTTCTATAAACTGTATATTAGGACTACATCCTTTGTGTAGAAGTGTGTAAATATGTGGAGGTTTTTCTGTCCCACAGCACAAATACCAGGTCACAGGGCAAACCAAAGCTGGCTCTTTTACATGGGTTCCAGTTGTCCAAACTCAAAGTCACCAGGCTCCCACTGCAAAGTGCTTTTTCCTCCTGTGTTATTTCCTTGGTACTAGTTTTGTCTTTTAAACAAAAAGTAGTTTATTAAACGGGTTGTCAGCACCACTTTGTCCAATCCTGGCACCACTTTTGACCTTTCCAAATCTGACTACCTTGAGTACCTCATGTCAGTAGAACCATAGATGGGGAGGAGGGGTCATATAGCCCCGTGTTCTTTCCTAGACTTCGTCCTTGTTATACTGAGGACAATTTTTTCTTCAAGTCTGATTTTTCATTGTATGTCAGTACTACGTTTTACATCACTTTCCTGCTCTTGAACACAACTACTTTTTGAATGGTAAATAATTCTGCTATGAATATGGCTAAATAGCTATTTTTATATGCTGGCTTTTTATTTTTAGGTGGGCACTCTGGTTTTTTAAAAATGATAAAAGCAAAACTTGGCAAGCAAACCTTCGATTGATCTCTAAGTTTGATACTGTTGAAGACTTTTGGGCGTAAGTAACTTTATTTTAAAATATTTATACATTTTTAATTTGTATATATTTTTTCCTCTTCACAAATGTTTGAATTGGTGATTATGCTTTACTTTACATTGCTTAGTATATACAAACAGCAAAAAAAGAAACAGGTTTATTATAGTCAGCCTTTAGTTTTGATTATCCTCTATGCCTCATCTTCCTATGATAATCCTCTTTTATTGTCCTAGAATTTTTGATGACTTTTTTGGAACTCTTTCCCTGTGTAGTCACCTAGATAGATTTGTGACATAACTGGGTACTGGAGAGCCTTAATAAAATAAACATTCCCATTTTCTCTCTCTCTCTCTCTCTCTCTCTCTCTCTCTCTCTCTGTGTGTGTGTGTGTGTGGTACAAAGAGGTTTATTGAGTCGTGAGGGCAGAGAGACAGACAGTGGGAGAGCATAGGAGTGAGAAAGGAGATAGGGTGAGGTGCCCCAGTAGAGAGAAGTCAGAGTATTAAATATTCCCATTTCTGCAAACGGTTTTTAGTACAATCTTTGGAATTCCCCTGCTCAGGATATCAAAAGCTGAAGTGGTTAAAATTCAGAGGAATGTCAGGAGAATAATGGTATCTTTGATGTTAGTTCATTGATTTTTATTGCAATTTGTGAAAGTAATTGAAATTTTTTTTTTTTTTTTTTTTTTTT